TTCACTTAGTTTTAAGCTTCTGAAAAGGTGAAATACCATTTTTTAATTGATATTAACCATTTTTTTATTTGCGAGTTTTTTCGACAAACCAAAATTTAAAAAATTCATAACTTAGCCAAATTAGTATTAATTCGAATTCGGAAAGCATTCGTATGTTAATTTGTATCAGGTTAATAAAACTGTCTATGACTTATAGGGTCGGAAATGACTCCTTCACTTAGTTTTAAGCTTCTGACTGAAGGTGCAATACCATTATTATTACCCATATTTTTATATACAAATTTTTCGATAAACCAAAATTTAAAAATGTCAGAACTATGTCAAAAAGGCATTAATTTCAATTCGGAAAGCATTTCTATGTACGTTTTTAGTAGGTTAACAAAGCTGCATACTCCATTCAAAATGTGAATTTTTGGCCGATTTTTGTAAATTTTAATGATGTAACCCCTTTCCTTTTTTTCGAAAAATGGGAAATTTCGGGAAAAAATTTTTTTCGGCCGAACATAGCTGGGAAGATTTGCCTGTTGATGCTGATGAAGAATATATACGATTTATAGAGTCGGAAATGATTCCTTCACTTAGTTTTAAGCTTCTGAAAAAGGTGAAATACCATTTTTAATTGATATTAACCATTTTTTTATTTGCGAATTTTTTCGACAAACCAAAATTTAAAAATTCATAACTTAGCCAAATTAGTATTAATTCGAATTCGGAAAGCATTCGTATGTTAATTTGTACCAGGTTAATAAAACTGTCTATGATTTATAGGGTCGGAAATGATTCCTTCACTTAGTTTTAAGCTTCTGACTAAAGGTGAAATACCATTTTTTAATTGATATTAACCATATTTTTATATGCAAATTTTTTCGACAAACCAAAATTAAAAAATTCATATCTAAGTAAATATAGCATTAATTTGAATTCGGAAAGCATTCCTATGTTAGTTTTTAGCAGATTAACAAATCTGAATTCTCTATATTGGTAAAAGGGGAACAAAAGCAGTAGATAACAACTTTTGCAATCAACTTGTAAATGGTACAATGCTATTTTAAAGATACAAAAGAATCCCTTACTAAGTGCTTAACATTTGAAACTGAATAATGCCTCCATCTGTATGGTAATTTGTTTGTTAATGAAGCAATAAACGCTTCTGGAACATTTATTTTAATTTCAATTTGAACTCTGACAATCAGATACCGCTCCCTCCCAAAAAAGAACCCACGCCGAGGCGACTCTTTTGGCTTCTGTTTTCGGCACGGCGGCAATTAACATATTTGCGCTTGATACTCGTACTTAGGCCAATACGTATTGTAATCCAAACCGAAGGCATAGTCGTGGGCCCACTTATCTGAACAATCAACAGTGGCTGGTCTTTATATATGTACATATATAAGTTGTGTGTATGTCTGCACAACCAAAGTGTGTGTAAGCCCGAAAAAGAACCCGAGGGCAGGAGCTGGAGCAGCACAGGAGGCTGGGAAATACTGTGGGCGTGTCCATGGCACACACAGGCCGGAGTAAGAAATTTGCAACTGCAGAAGCCAAGTGCAGTGGCTGCCACCGGGATATCCAAAGTGCTCCACCCACTTTTGTGCTAGGTAGTCTCGTCCGGAGGAAAAATAAAAATTTTCGGGTATCTAGCCGGGGATCTAAAGAGTGGGCGGGAGGTCTGTGCTCCTTTTTTTTGTATTTTCTTGTTGTATTTTTCTCCAGACTTTTCCAACTCCAGCTGGGGCAAGTTTGCATGCCAAAAGAGCAAACAAGTTGGCTGGCCTGGGCTCACTTGATTTACAACAGTCGCCACTTGGCCAGATTGCTAAGTTATGGGCCCGTTTTTATGCTAGGTACTCATAGATAATTGGGGTATGTTGTGCTTGTTTTTAAAGTACAATAACTGTCAGATATCTTTTTGGGATATAATAAGTACAAACTTTCCTGAAAAATATACAAAAAGAGAAGAAAATGTTAAGTTTTTAAAGCAACCCAAGCTATAATTATTACCTAAAATCAACCTAAACACCGGGTACCTCATAGTCGTGTCTCTGGTTCCTTTTTTTGCTTTAGATTTTCGGTGTGTGTGTGTGTGTGGGCGTCAATTACCAGCTCATAAATTTCCATCGATTTGCTAACTATATATATGTATTATATTTTCCCACCCAACTCTGGCATCTAATTGTTTATTAATCAACTCATTAATTAGTTGCTTTGGCTTTGCCATTTGTTATTTCACTCTTTTTTTGTTGTATTTTATTGTTGATTTGTCCGTTCGCTTCGATAATTTTAATTAATTTGCGCAAAATGTATTTTTCTATTGCATTTTTGATTAGTTTTTCCGATTTGAACATGTAGCATGGATATTTGTACTAACAATCAACAAAATAATTAAATGCATTCAAGCATTTTTAATTGTTGTTTGCGCTAATTTCGATGCTTAGGCATAGGTCGGGGGGCCGATTGATGAGTGGGCGTGGTCAATGCGGTAAATGGCCTGCATTATTCATGTGTTTTTGTCGTAACTTGACGGCTGCACCCGATTGTCCTTTGGGCTATTTGTTAAAGCCCGGCTAAATGTTGCTGAGCGGTTTGGGCCAAGTCAATATTAGACGATTGAGGTAATGAGAAAATATTTAACTGGGGGAAGTTAAGGAGTAGTTGCCCTAAATATACATATATAAAGTATTCATTAATGGGTTGGGAAAAGTCAAATTTAATATTGTTAGTTTGCAAATATCAGGCATAGGTTGTAGCTCTTTAATTATATTTATTATTTCAGTATTTTTGTACTATTATACGTGCCATAACAATAGTATTGCTTAACGATATATTTGAAGCATAATTGATATCAAATTATCACTTTGGGTACCACCATTGCTTGCTACTTTTACAGTTTTCTTTAATTTTTATTGGTTTACCGATAGAAAATTTATTTTCTTATGTATTATTTATGGCCCTAAGGAATAATCCTACTGGGCACTAACTAAAAATTAGTTTAGACTCATTAGAGTGTTCCTATCCACGGAAATCTTTAGTAAAAGGCGAAAGATTTATTCGACAATTGAATAGAAACCAGAGTACTTTTCTACCCTCAGACAAGGGCCTCTCTACTCGTTTTGTGCCAGAAGCAGTTGGGAATTATAGGGTAAACGGAAGGGGATGCAGTTGCACCCTAAAGTAGGCAACGCTAATGTCTAGGGGATGATTTCAAAGGCTACTTAGGTAACAGGAAATGTCTTGGTTATTTGGGTTATATCTCGAAAGGACTTCATTGCACATAAAATAGTAATCTTAGTAAATATCTTAATTTGCATCATAAATAAATCTAAGAACTATATTTATTTTTGTTTAGTTTATCTCGGTTTAGTTTTTAAGTGAATTTTCAACTTTAAAAACTATTCTGAAGCTTAACATATTCTTGGAATTTTGAGCAAAACAAAAAGAACCCCCCACCGAGGGCCATTTGAAGTTTTTTCAGCCAGGCGACAACCCAGGTGGTGACAACCCAATCAACTCTGAAATGTATTTGTTTGGGCACCGGGACAAGGCATCTCCTCCCACCCTCCATCCATGTTAGATCTGCAACTGCATATTTTGTTTGACATCATTGTTGCACATGCCACGTGCTGCTGCTGTTTGTTGCACCTGCAACATTTGTAGAGGAAAAACGCCCCAAAAAGGCGGCAACATGCAACAACGTAACGTAACGGAAAGGCCTTGCAAAAAATGCAGCCAGCTGCATGTGCGTGCATAAATTACAGCCGGCGGTGGTTCTGTTTCTGTTTCAGTGTTTGCCATTGTTGTTTGCATCCAGCAATGAAGACATGAAGCGGACAGCGGACAGAGGATAACGGACACCGGACAGCGGACACCTCCTGCAGTTGCAATGTTCCAACGGCCTTCAGGTGTCTCTGGAACTCTGAAAATAAATTTATACAATTTAAATTGAAGTGTAAAGTAAGAAATTTATATGCGTATAAAAATTGTAAAATATATTTATAAACACTTAATTACTTACCTTTTTGGGGATATTTTCGGGTTCAAAGATTGTTAAGACTTGGCAGAAGATTTCTAATAACTTCCCTTTTGGAAATTTCTTGTATCTCACCTTTGTCCCCCTAATTAACTTTCTTCCACTAGCGTTTCGGTCATAAATCCATAACGACAAATGTTGTTATTATTGCTGCTGTTCCTTGGGTGTTACTCCCTTTTGTCTGGTGGACAATGGCAGCGCCAACAATTATGTGAAAAGCTGGAAAGGACCAACGCTAGTGCAAACAATAGTTGAATGTTTGCCGCCAGGGCGTTTCATAGTTTCTCCCCCCCCCCATACATGACAGACAGCCCCGAAAGGAGCAAACAGACAGAAGATGGAAATGAAATGCAGAGGTGGCTTGGCTTGGGTTTTGGGGTGGCATTCGGTGGGTAAACATTTCGGGGTGATGGCAAAAAAAGGATATCGCGTGCCGGCAAAAAATCACCATGTAAACACTCACATAAAGAGACTGGAGAAAGCTTTCAGTTCGGAAAAAACCCCTCTTTAACACCGCCAGTGAACACCCTCACACCCTGGGACAACATTACATGTGCACAATAGTCGCCTTTGGTGTTCAGGATCCTTTGTCCCCCTTCCTGTGTTGTCCTTCTGCCTTGTTTTTGTTTTATTGTGATTTTATATGGTAGTACGTTTTGTTTTGGCATTTTTGGCAAATATTAGTTCCATTCTTTCGCTGTTGTTCGATGGCAAATGGAATCCTATTGTATTACGTTTGGTTTTCTGCCGGGCTAATAGCTTTGATTGCAAAGGGACATTAACTAATGCCAAGCTTTATTAGTGTTATAGTTCCCCTAATAAAACACTTCTGAAACAGTACAATTAAAATTAATTTCAACTCTGATGAAAGTTGATCACGAAGGCTAGTAATTTTCTTAAAGATTAATAGCACACAAACACTGTGCATTTTTCGCTTAATCTAATTAGTTTTTTAGTTTATTTTAATCTCATTTATAGTTGCATACATAAACAATACATAAATCCATATATACTAACTAGTACTGATGCGTAAAATTATAGTGAAGAACGTTGGTACTTAGGGCTGGTCCTCCTTCTCGGTATCTGCAAAAGTGGCAAGAATTAGATACGTTTTCGGCAAGCTTGTTGAGTGAATTATAAGTCTAAGCCGGTCTTGCGGCAGACACAATAATTACTAGACATTTATATTAAGTTTAATTGCAGGCACGGGTGTACCGGGCCATACACGAAAATAAAATGCATCCAATATGTATGCAATATGTAAAGCGTTTTATGATTTATGCAACCCCACGAGCGAGCAGGCTCCTCAAACCCACAAAAAGTAAAACAAAATCAACAAATCATTTTTCTGGCCAACGCTGACAGCTGCAATTTTTCACTGCTACCAACATGCAACACATTTTTGCCCCAACTGAAGTCCAACTTTAAGGCGGTTATATTTCCCCCCCTCCCACATTTCGAAATCCAACCCTCCCGATGAGTGCGTTCCCCACACAGAATCCCCCCTCTCTAAAATTTTGAAAACCGAGTCAATTAAATTCAATTAGATTCGAAAAACCACAAGCCAAGTGCATAACCTTATCGCTCGGTGCAAGTGCAAGTGCAAGGTGCGAGTGCAAGGGATATTATCCCCATTGTTAAGTCCAAAACCACTCGCCCCGAAGCCTGGCTGTCAATCTTATTCTAATTGAAATGCATACACAATACACAAATTGCCTGGGACTCGAATTTCGGCTCACAAATTGACTTTTACGCATAAACAATTGAAATTCTGCCGAGATTTCCGGTTGGGACTTAAGTCTCCCCCTCGTTGGAATTGTTGGGGGCCATAACCCCTTTTTGTGGCCAAAATCAACAAGTTAACTGCACTGCCGGCACTTCCAACGGTTTTGGGGCTGTCATTCAATTTGAGATTTCGAATTGACCCCCAAGGGGGCTACATACATATGGCAGTTATGTGTTTGGTTTCTCACTGTCTAATTGACTTCTGAATGGAGTTTGCAATTTGAGTTTCCTCGGGGTTTGGTTTTGAGGTCTTTTCAAATTTCAATGGAAAATTGCAAAGGGATTTTTCTTACAGCAATTTAAGGTGGATTGTAAAAGGAAATGTTTTCAGAAAGCGAAAGGAAAAGGAAGCAGTTACTATACTCTTTGGGTCAATTAAATGAATTCTTCTTTTTATTATATTTATATTGTTATGTAATTTGCTTCTAAAGAGTTTAAAATTTATAAGAATTTATTTTTGCTACTGTATGTATTTTACACTATTCAGGGCACTATAATACTAGTCAGAAGCTTAAAAATTTGTTAAAAAGTAAAAAGTATAAACTTCAGCTTTCCAAAGTTAATTTCTTTTCTTTTTTCAATATACTTTTCTTTCCATATATTATCTCATCTTAACAAATACCATTGGATTTTATATATTATCTAAAAAAGGATAAAATATTCTTAAAAATACCATCATTTAAATTAATTTTTTGACACAACCCTTTGGTCGTGTTAACCTTTTTCCAGGACAAACATTTTTGACATACTCTTCACTCACAAAAAATACTCTTTTCATAAAATTTTTGCATAATATTTTCGTTGGGCCCGCAGCGTTGTCTTTATCATTTCCCTTAATTAATTAAAAAAGTTGTTGCACCTTTTTCGGGTTTCTTCTCTCCTGAATTTATACTTTTTGTTGGACTCGAAAAAAATGTGCACAATTTTTATTTCGCACATGCGAAATTAGCGCTGCTGGGGCATGCCTTGTTAAAATATTTGCAAATATTTAAATTGACATTTTTCCGTCATGTTATGACTATGAACAATGTCAATTTTGCGGGGTAACTCGACAGAATGCCTCAAGGCCCGGTCGGTTTTTATCCCTCCATGTTTTTATTTCAATGTTTTGAGTGAGTTTAAAATTCCAGCAGGAGAGTGAAGAGTAGACTTTAAGCTGCATTTACACACACTCACAATGCGCAAACTAATCAAAACAAATTCAATTAAACGACACACGACAAGCCACGGATCGCATGGCATCGCATCGTCCAAGTTGGGTCCCAGTCCATCCCAGTCCAATCCAATCCACCATCCATATGCGATGGAGCAGCAGGAGAGGCCACCTCCTTTCGGCTTATCTGGCAGCACAATCCATTAAAATTGCACATCGTTTACACCAAAAATCAATTCAACAAAGCATTTAGGCATTACAAATGCCAAGCCAGCCACTGGGAGCTAGTCAGCTCCGGTACCAGAGCCAGAGTCCAGATTTTGTTTGGGATTTGGACTCGGACTCAGACTCGAACTCGGACTGCGACTGGGATCCCGCTTCAAATTCAACGTTGATGCCCATAAATTTCGCACACACACGGCTCCTCACCCGGGTTTTTCGGTTTTCTGTTTGTTTTCTGCTCTCGGCTTGGGCTCGGGCTCGGGCTTGGGCCGGCTCCTCTGGTTGTATCTGCCTGTCCGTGGGTCTCTTTGTCTGCTGGGGGCTACCAAGCGATAAACGCAGGCCAGTTGGCATTGCTTTGAAATGTATCCGCCAGATACGAGTAGTACAAAAGCTGCATTTGTGGAGAGCCAGTCGCATTGGCAGTATCGGGAAGAGTGGATTGGATGGACCGACGACCCAGTTGTTGTCCCTGGTCAGTTTGTGAGACAGCGACCCAAACAGGGAGTTTTTCTAGGGGGGTTTTTATTACGAAGGATTGGAGTCTATTAGCTGGAACTTAAAGTGTTATATTAATTTTTAAATGCTTTTAGTAGGGTGTTTTTGAGGAACTTGTATAGAATATTGGAGAAAATGTTTAACCACGTTCGAGTAATAATAATTGTGATGATTAAGGAATATGTGAAATAGTTTTGGAGCGAGGCAAATATGGGTTGGTTTAAAGGAGAAGTTTAAGGAAGTATTTATTTAAATGGAATAAATACTTGCTACTAATTTAGTTTCTTTTAAAACATATTTAACTAATTTCGACTAGTTCTAGATGCTCTTTAATTTTATATAATTTTTACCTTACACCATTTTAAGACTTTTCTTTCATTATCGATTTCTTCCCTTCGAAGAAACCCCTTTTCCTGACCATCAATATGACTGTCCTTTTGGTTCTTTCCCTGGTATGTCAATGTCACCTCACGCCCCGACAAATTATGTCTATCGGAAACGCAGAAACCAACGAAAAAAAACCAGAAATAAAACTAAAAGATACCCAAATCCAATGTCGTGTATCGGCGGAGGCACAAATGCCTTGTGTGTGGTGTGGTGGTGGTGTTCGGTGGCGTCGCCTCCGTGAGTGGTTCAGTGGTTCACTTCGATTTCAGCGGTGTCAGTTTGTCGTGCGTTTTATTAGTGGCAACTCAAACAGCAAATTGAGATTAGAAGGCGACTGACTGAGTAAGTGAGGCCATGAGTTATGGCCTGCATTAAAGCGCATCAAAGTCCACAGTGGAAGAATGTGAAAATCAAGGAGACTTGAGGAGATGCCACCCATTAGGAGGTTTAAATAGGTGACAGTCGCTGAAGGGTTAGGCCAAGGAGTATAGGATCCTTACTAGAAAGATACAATCTGTAATTATTATAAGTATCTTCCACATTTTCTAATAAGTCACAAGTAAATCAATCCCTTTTCCTACTCTATGGAGTGTACTCCCTTTCCCTAGATTATTTTAAGCACCCATTTTGGAACGCTTAGAGGTCTTTATCCCACCCCTTGATCTTCATTTCCATTTATAGCAATTTACATTTGATTGCTGTTCAATCTACTTTCATCGCTGGCAACCCACAGCGACTGAGCATGTGATATCCTTGACATTTATGAGATGTTTGGCTCTGTGGGAGCACCACCTCACCCCTATGGAGTTAACATGTTAGATGAACAATAACAAATGTCAGATGTGATTTGCATAACACGGGAGTATTCCTCATGAGTTTCTTACTTCCCTGTTGCTTCTGTCAGATGTCGTATTTTTTATCATAAATGATAGCAATCTCAAATGGTATTTGCCTCGTTCCTCCGCTACCCGCATATAATTCACTTGATTCTCCTCATCCGACTTTCACTTACGAATCTGTTTCAGCCCTCTAAGAGGAGAGAAAAAAATGAAACATAAAGGGAAGACAACATTAGGCCTTATTACATTTGACATGTTGTACTCTCTCCCAACCCCCCGCCGGAAAGCAAGATTTTCTTTCATTTTTGGTAGCAAACCACCACCCCATGGCTACAAATCAAAAGATAAATTGTTTTCGTTCATGATTTATATACGAAAATGTTTTGTTGACTTCGCACCCAACTTTCTTTTCTTATCACGTTGAAAGCGAGCAACAAATATTAATATTGTTTGTATTTCATGTGCTCTGTGCTTTCTGCTTTTTATTTCGTTTTCAATTTGGCCAAGTCAAGTCTGAATGTTCGAGGGGGAGTCGTTCTGGTCCTGGTCGCATGTCAAATTTAATATAAATTATTGGCATAAAATCACCGGAATGGGATAAAAGTTGTATCTGGCGATTACTTACATTCCTTGGTCGTTTTCCAGGAGTTGGTGGTCATTGCCTTTAGCTGATTTTCGTAGGCCTTCTTGGCCAGCACATCCTTGGCCTTTGGATTCACCTTGTTGCAATTTTCCGAGTCGGCAAAATGATGCAGATACTCATCGCGTTTGCAGTAGATGCATACTCCGTAGATGAATTCCTCCTCACAGATGGTGGCATTCGTGGAACGAGCCCAGTCGGCGGCATTGTCTTTTGCAGCCCGAAATAGTTTACCCACGTAGATATGGGCAGTGGGTATATGTGTGAAGGCATTCAGGGCAATTGTGGTTATCGGATTGTGCTCCAAATTGAGAACCTGAAGGTTCTTCAGCTTGTCAAAAGGCCACTGGAAAAGGAAGATAATTATTGTAGAGATTTCTAGTTAAATTTGAAGTTAGTTGTAAACTTACCTCTGAATGCGATCCAAATTGTTAAAGGCCAAATGTATCTCCAGTAGTAAGGGGGTATTGTGGAATAACTGATTCGGCAATCTGGCTATATTATTTTTCTCCAATCTCAAAGTAAGTAATTTCTTTTGCGACTTGAGAAAATCCTTGCTTAGATAGCTAATGTTGCTCCTTATGCCTATGTAAGCCAATTGATCCGACATCCAAAACAGTTCGGTGGGCACATTATCACCACAATTAAATACCTCCACGGACTGCAGTTCGGTCATGTGCCACAGATCCTGTGGCCCAAAGGCAGACATCTCCACGCTGCTATTTTGGCATCACAATCGATCATCAAATGACGCACTTTCGATTGTTTGGCAAAGATCTGACCCGAAACCTTGCCCAGATTCTTGACCACAATATTCAGATGGGTGAGGTTCTGCAGGGATGCAGGATGGCTCCAGGTAAATCACTGCTCCTTTCAGGGAAAGTTGCTTAAGAGCTGGCAGATGCTCCAGAAAATTAGCAGGCAGTGTGGACTTGAATCCTATGATGGAGACCTTCTTCAGACTCTCGTGATCCGTGTAATACTGTTGCAGAATCTCGCCGCGATCATTCTTCTTGGGATCGAAATAGTTGAAAATCTCCATTTCTGTGTAGTTGGATACTCCCAGTTTACTAGCAAGTATTTAATGCTCTCAGCATTGGGTATCGCACAATTTTGGATCATCAAAGAACCAATATTGCCCACCTTGAGCGATGGTATATATCCAAATCCCCGGGCATCGAAGATAGTACAGGTGATGCCATATAGCTGGGTATTATCACTGTGAAGCACAAGATTCTCACACTTGATCTCCTGATCCTGGCACTCGCAAAGACTGGGCTCCTTGATCAGAGCCTCACAGCCCGCCTTGGTCACATAGGTATGACTATGGATTACAGTGGCATTCTCCTGCCACGAGGGTGCAACTACGGCCAGCAGGAGAAGGAGATGTAGCGGCAACATCCTGAGGCTAACTGAACGCTGAAAGGCCAAAGGAGCAGATTTTTAAATTAGTCTTTTTACGATCCAAGACAGCTGCCACCTATATTTTCCTAGACTTGGATTTCCCTCAGGTAGCACGCATTTCCCTGGAAGTGATGCTGCTGCTGCTGCTGCTACTACGATTTCCCAACGCCGAAGACACCGCCCCCATTTTACACCCAAAGGCTGGCTGGCTGCCATTTTTACACAAAATTTGAATACCCGAGGCCTGGGACAGGTAAACCCAAACAGTACCGCTCTCACCTCCCGCTCCTGTTACCTGTTACCTGTTACCCGCCACTTAATGGCCCATAATTTACTACGCAACTCGCCCGATTTGTGCATAATATTAAACCATTTTGAATTCGCCTTGCAACAACTCGAAACTCGAAAAAATCGTACGCAGGAATAAAAAACAAGAGCAGAGCAGAAAACAAAATGACTTAAATTGCCATTTGCGTTGCCTTCGGTGGAGTTTCTTCTGTTTGAAGGCGGAGAAAGAGGGCTCCATTTGGGGAGGAGATCGCCACTGCGTGAGTGCGAGATGATCTGGGGCCCCGAAGAGTGCCTTTTGATAACAGTTGAAAATGCGCGATTTTACATACGAATTGCCAGTCCGAAAGATGAAGGAGCGAATGGAAGCGATCTGTGGCAAGACGGCACAAAAAATATGGGTTTAAAGACAGTGGGGTTGAATGGGTAAAGTTGTAAGCAAAAATAGTAGGAGCAATATTAGATTTGAATATTAATGAAAGGTATTATATAATTATTATATTAAAAGAAAGAAAATATATTTGAAGAACCTTAAGGAGACTAATTTATCAGCTTGGCAAATAAACGAAAATGGGAATTTCGATTTCAAAAATAAGAAGTTGAATCTGAAGTTAATACTGTTTATAATTTCAATTAATTGGATATTTTCTATTTGTATTCTTTTAAGAACCTATGTGATATTATTTCCAACATTGTGCTGATCACAAAAGCAATGTCAAGTGGAATAATTTTCACAATGAGAATGTACATCTAAAATAATTTGGATTGTTTATATATAACAAGAATAAAGATATAATTGAATAGAGTATATTATTAATTGATTGATTTTTTGATCATGATAGAAAAAAAACAAATAATGTCTATTATTTCTAAATAATTTGTAAATATCCTTCAAAGAAACTTTATATATTTTGGCTTAGTTCTTAGAAAGCTACTATACAAGTGTTTATTTCCACTTCAAATATTATTATGAATCTAAAATCTTTAGCAATAAACATAGTTTTTGTAGTATATAACTTACAAACTGCCTCCAAATGTATTATTTCAACCAAAAATCCCTCTTCAATTGCCACTGTCTGCCATCCCAGACCAAGTTGAATGCTATCAAGTTCTTCCCACCTCATCCTCATCCTCATCCTCATGACCATGTTCAACCTTATCCCATCCACTGGAAACATCCTGAATTGCAATTTTGAGTCTGATCTTATATCTCGACCACGAAACTGGGACTTGGACTGCTGACCGAGGTGGAGGCATGGCTGGATTGATGTTCCTGCTTGCGATTCAGCTTGATTCCGAACAAATTACAATTCATTCTGGTTTTCAGTTTCATTACAAATGCAAAAATGCAAAATGGCAAGCCGGCCATTATCCTGCTGTCTGAGGAGATGCTGTGCCATGGCCTGGGATACGATGCGATGCGATGGTATATGGAATGGGAATGCGATGGGATGGGTTGGGATGTCTGTCTGTTGATCGATGATCGCTGTGTGCCCGCCGATGATCAAGTTTTGTGTATCGTTTGAGGCGTACATGCGTAAGTGCCCCTGATCCCCTTGGCACCGTATCCCCTTGATTCCCCCTGAGAAACCCTCCTTCCGAAGCAGTTGCATTCACAGATCGGGGCCAATGCATTTGAATTTGTCTGGCCGGCAGCCAAATCGATCGACAACCAATCAGCCCCAGTCCAGTTCGGTCAGCCATCATGCCAGTTAGCCAATGTGGGTACACTGAGAAAATATTACTATAAGATTATAAAGGATTCAAAAAGATGGTGATAACATCGTTCTACAAAACTTCAATGCTAAATTTTCAATGGGACAATCAATTAATTTGACTTTCTGGTGATACTAATTAAAAAGAAATAAAGAAGCTATTTTAAGGAGCGTAATACACTTGAATTTAGACCATAGAATTTTTAATTTATCATAACTAAGCCAAAAATGCATTAATTTTAAGTATATATCAACAAATGAGTCCTTTACAATGTTACAGGCTTCAGACTCCACGGATTGTAATAACCTTGCAAAGGTAAGAAATATATATTTTTTCTATTACATATTTTTTGCACTGCACTTAATAATAATAAGTTTATGGTTACCAAGTATAAAAATTTGATATAAGATTAATAATCTCTGTAACTATTAGAATAATTAATACATTTAAGATTCACTTTTAATTTTCCTATGGCAATGAAAATAACATTGGCTTAGCTTAAACTAGGAACGCTTTCTAAACCTCAAAAAGGTATATAAAACCATTCTAAATTAACTTAATCACAGCTGCTTATTGGTATTAATACATCTATTTAATATATATTATATTCTCTCTATTTTTTCGAATTAACAACCGGAAATAATAGTGAATAAAATTATGAAATAATATGTTAAGTAATCCCGAGTTAAGTTGATTTCTTTCTTATGCAAACCAATGTATTTGGAGGGGCAAGTCAATAATGAGGTTAACTTAGGGCTCAAACGCTAAACCATTAATCAAATATGATTAAATTATTTTAAAAATTTTATAGAAATATTTATGATTTAAAGAACTTTTGTACAGTGTCTGTTTGTGTTGCTGCTTCTGCTGCTGGCAGTGGCAAACATTTCATTTTTCACGATCCACGAACCGTCTCTCTCGTATTCCCAAGAGCTAAATCAATAAATTACGTGACAGGCATGCAGAAAACCTGATGCCTCCAACTTTGCTTTAGCTTTAGCTTCAAGTCCACTTCTTGATCGCCGTTTGCGTTTTGCTTCGTTTTGATTGAATCAATCAAAAACTTGTGCATTTATATGAAAAATATTAAGAAGTTGGTTACGATGCGCAAAAATGAAGCGGGAATACCCTGAAGTAAGTGAATAAATTAATGATAAATTAAAGGAGCATCAAGTTGAGTAAAAATTATAATATTAAGCAAGAAACCAGAGGGAAGAATACATGGATATTAATTTATTTTAGTGTCTTACAAAGAATTAATGAAAAGTTTAGCAAAAGTCTAAAGGAAATTCGAAATCCAATGATATAACTCTTTATATATGTGGGAAATGAAATGTTAATGTTTAATGGTATTATTTATAAGGTATGTTTGATAAAGTTAAATTTTCAAATATGAATACTTCATGAATGTACCAAATTTCCCCTGAAAACCTTAGATCCTTATAGATAGTGTATACAGAAAAGCAAAAATGTCGGTGAGCATGGAGGCTGGCATACATACATATATCGTTTGCAGATCTTCTGGCGCTGCCATAACATAAATTATTATTATATCTTGCCCAATGGCTGCTGCCGCAGATATATGTATTTTAAGTTCTCCATTTACCATCCTTGCCCCCCTTTTTATTTTTTTCCCGGGTTTTTCGCATTAAATTTGATTGGTTTTCATTTGTTGCGAGCAGGAAATGCTCAATAAAGTTCTTAACTCGGTTTAATTAACTTTGACAAATTGAAATCGGTGGAAAATGTTTTTCCGCCAGCAAAAATAATCGAATTAAAAGGCGAAGTAGCAAAAGTCATTCGCCAAGGAGCGACATCCCTTCAATTAGTAATAAATAAATTTGGAGTTGGTTGAGAAAGTTTTCCTCTAAGCTAAGCGATGCATAATCCATGAAAGGGCGCCAGCAAAGTTCGGGAAGCCAAGAACTCGACTCTCGTCTTTGGTATCGGAAAAGCCAAAAACTGGAAGCCAAATGGGTGCAGGCCACTCTGCCACTCTTTCTATTAATGCCGCTCTATTGTGCGGCAAAAGTCTTCATTGATTTGGATTTCTTGTACCGAGGAAAATCGCCTTAGGCCGAAACTTTCGCCCAACCACAGGAGTATTGGCCAGGACAGGATGGCAAAGGAGTGCATATTTCCCCGGGACAAGGCGGACAGGCAAATAAATGGTCATAATCCCGGCCAGACAAAAGGCTACTGTTCCTGCTCCTGCTCCTGCTCCTGGCTGCTCCACCTTAACCCATAACTCATGTCTGGGGCAATATGGGGTGTGTATCTCCGAGTCTTTTATGCGTTTCATACATTTGATTTATTCCACATGCAAATTGCGGTATACAAAAATTAAGTCGTTGAAAATGTTTTATTCCAAGAAACGTTTTTGCGTCTCTCCCAAACGAAACTAAATAATAATTCGCCTCAAATTCGAATGCGCACGTTTCCAAAAAAAAAAAAAAAAATACAGGGCCATTACATGGCTCAAGGCGCCCCAAAGTGAAGTAAGGGGGTTAAATTCACCCCCTTCCCGGGGTGGCCCGGGGCACAACCCGCTCTTACAAATAAATGCATGAAATTGAATACCAGGATCCAGAAATAATTTTTGACAGAGAAACTGAGAAGGTCTCCATCACCATCATCATCATCATTTCTATTTTGGCATTGTAGTTATATTCCACAGCCACGGTTTGGTGTTCTGTTTATTTATGTGTTTGCGCCTATTTATTTATTTTAATTAAAAGGGGCACGTGTTGCTGTTTTCTTGTTTTCTTTTTGCCACGGCAACATTACGCCCCAGAGAAATTGAGAGATTGCCGATGGAAAAACAAAACTTGGAGTAGGGGTGTCCTGAGGTGTGGTCCCTTCTTAAATTTTTAGGGTAGGAAGGGGTGGGAACGGGTTGTGGCAAGTGCAACCGAGAATTGTATCAATGACAACCCTGAGAATTTCACCAGAGTTTTTATTAAATTATTATCTATGGGAAGGATATTTTCCTTCTTAAAGTTCAGTAAGGA